TCGTAACAACCTTTCACGCACTCGTGTTTTCGCACGTGCTACTAACTTAGAGCTAGAAAATGTGGATCTACTCGAAGTCGGCTCTCGTGTTGATGATTATCCGCGCCCAGCAAGACAATTTTCTAAGCTGTGTTACAGTCTCAGCAAATGTGCGAGAAATCATTCATTAGTAACAAAAAGTGCTCCGCTGTTTTCTTGCTTTCGTACTTCGGTCCTCCTGCGAAGGAATGGCAAAACACGTGATCTACACACTGTTTAAATTTGAAATCAGTTCTAAAAGTGGGCAAAAAAAATACTACGTGAGTGCTCACCGTTCAGTTTCAACAAAATTTTACTGAAAAAAACGGTGTTCTCTCTAATGATAGAACAACGAGCGTCATCGTGTGCTAAGCTTAGTGGCAACAAAGCTTTTCAACCGTCACCATTCACCGTGACACAACTGATGACGTGTAACGGTTGCTCGGTGCACTCGCGGTGTAGTGTTTCACTCTTGTGGACGCTATATTGCCGTGGTCTGAAGAAAATTTTAGTGAATGTGTCACAGGTCTTTTCCATCAAGCAGAGCCAGAGTACTCTTCAAGCGAAGAGAGACAGGAAAGTGAAGTAGAAGATGAAGAACGTTGAGAAGCGTCAGGTTTTAATTCTGTAAATGTCAACCACCGATCGAACACTTCATGGTGCTTATCTGTAATGTATTCAATAAAATTTTCTTCAGACGTCAGCAAAATAGCATTAACAACAATGAAACACTACACCGCGAGTGCACCGCGCAACCATTATACGGCGTCACCGGCCCAGAGGCCGCGGGAAATTCGAAGTGGCTGTAAAACCCTTCTTTGGAAAAGAATGAAAAGTCAGATCTCTTGGTAAGGCGATTTTTTTTTCAGGTCTATTGAGAAGTATACTTAGAACATTTTGAGCGTTATTTGTAAAAAGAGTGGAGGTTCCATTTAAGCGAAAGCTGCTCATCTTTATTTGATGCAGCTGTGATACAAGCCGTTGATGGATCCTCCAAAGCAATTATAGAATAACTGAGATACTACGAGAACCTTCATTTGTCAAACACCTATCATATATAATGACTGAGATACTACGAGCACCTTCATTGGTCAAAAACCTATCAGTATCATTTATTGCACCATTAAACCCATAGAAAGTTGAAACGTTTTAAATTCATTTTATATTATAGAAGCAATGGTTTGCAAAATCCCTCGCCTCTGGCTCTTAATTT